CCCACCAACATATTCCACTGTAAGTCACATTATTGAGCATTGCTGCGGCTTAGAATACAGACCCGTTCACAGGGCGAATATCGCAAGAATCCACAAGAAGGAAATTTGGCTGTCGGCCCCGTCTATCTGCTCTCAAGTTTCTGAATTCGCAATCGGAAGGAAATACAGATTCCATACTTGCACAACCGATACCAACGTTGTGAACACTTGGGGACTACAATAGATGGACCAGCAATTTTGACCTCCGTGTTCAAATTGTGACTTACCAAGAATTACCTATCCTTCGCAGCCTCCTCTCTCAAACTCGGTGTTCTTTGAATAACGCAGGGAAACGATCCGTCGGGGGAGAATATGATGTCTCCCATATTTGACTAAATTGACGAGACTTCGACTTGGTCGGTTTTGTAGTTAAGAAAGGCAACTATGCTTTTTCCAGTCAACATAAAATAAGACAAAGTTGGCCAGTCATCTAAGGCCATCTGCATATCTGGTGGAAGATGGACATAGTCGAGCAGACTGCACTTCCCCAGCGGAGCAATAAATTCGGTCGGAGGGACGAAGTGGCCATTTCCTATAGTTAACTTAAGGATTGTAATTTACGTCAAACGGGTTTTTTTTGAGCTAAAGGCACAACATCCATCCAGGAGATCACAGGACGAGTAGCAAAGACAGAAAATGCCGTTAATGATGTGTGTTTGGAATTGGACTGCAGTGAGGAGAAAACTAAATACTAACAATAGTCATCCTAATATTTCCAGATAAACGTGCGTAACTTACGCACCCGAATGCAGTGGTTCCATTGAATATTCACTAGTAAGTTTTGATTTGTTAGCTATATTTCCTTCGTAGACGAAAGGACTGTTATGCGCCGCTACGTTGGTGATATTGCCATATTTGCATTCGCAGAATTCCGGGATAGCCATTGCATGGACAAGTATTTGTTGGCTGAGCGAAGGATGGAGTTGTAGTCTTTGAGGAATTTAGAGTGCTGATGAACCCTGGCGGCTAATCAGAAGAGTAGAAGAATCCTATGTTCTGCTGGCGTTATTGTTGACGAATAGCCTATGTCGAGCACCGTGGTTTCGGTGGGATGACCATTTCCTCGAGACGGAGAAGGGTCGTAGCTTCTTGTGCCTGCGTTAATTGCGACAAAGAAGAACCCTAGCAAAACGGAAGCCCGCAAGCCCAAATCGACAGATCCTGGGTCAGATCCCTTGAAGCTTCTATTTAAGGAAAAGTAGTAAAAGCGTTTTCCAGCTGCAGGTTGGGAACAAGTGATAATATACTGAATAAGCAAGCCTAAGGTGAAGCTTGAAGGAATATCTGTTGATACTGGCCTCCTAGGCAAGGGTGACGAACGAAATATGGAGAAACATAGAACAGGTGGCCAGAGAATCTGTTAACAAGCAGTTGTTGTAGGATCATACAAAGAAAGCAGATGCAAGGATCGCATTCCTTGCGGCGCGCAAATGCCAGTTTCTGACAAGTCCACCTGGCGTCTTCTCGAAGCATTTTCGGCATGGATCCATCATCCATCACCAGAGGGAAAAAAAAGTGGACTGGCCATGACGTCAAGCCGAGGCTCATTGCCTGATCAGGCAACAAAGCCCTAACTACTCCGTACAGAAGGCTGATCCGTCGGATTTTGATAATGTTGGGATTTGGGGTTTCGAATAACTCTGCGATTTCCCATGACCTTTCCATTGGTTCGATGTCCTCGGTTTGGTTACCCGGCCCCTATCAGTCAGCTGACCGATGTTATCAAACGGTATGAGGGTCTGTTTCAGGGGAACTTGTATAAATTTAGCAAAAATCCATAGGGATTCCTTGAATTGGCGAGCCATAATAGCTTTTGGAGATCCGTTGTCTTCTTTTTAACAAACCAAAAACTGCTTTTGTTGGTTAGGTCGGGTTGCGGGAAGCCATGTATCCCCACTTCTCCGCGAGTTATTACCACCTATTAACCAATGAGTTTATCAGAGTCAGACTCCAAACCTTGAGAGCTTGCCTTTGCAATTTTCGAGTCCAGTAATTTGGAGAGGAAAGTTTGGACTAAGAGAGGATGTCTTGATGTTCAGTCCTAGCATAAACCACGACAAATGAATTTTGATTTACAACAAGAAAGGAGGCTGATTGTCTAGCAAAGGGTATGCGCGCGGTCCTCTGGGAATAGAAGTTTAAGAGGCCATACACTAAAGCTTACAGGGAAGGGAACAGTTTCATGGTATGTCATTACAGAAGAAGCCGGGTCTCTTGATAGGATGGTATCTCCTTAACCGGATTAAGCTAGTATTTCTACTCTTCCAAAACTCCCCAATCCAGACTTTGGTGAAGTCAGAAATCATCACACTGAGAAAATGACTTTGAAAGTACAGTCTGTCCAGCCATCAGCCCACAATCAACAGGGAGACATACCCCCGTAATCGCGGCTGCTAACTCCTTGTTGCTAAGAAACGAAACTGCATTCGCAACATCCACAGGGTCAACCGTCCTCTTCAATGGGTACCATTGCATAACCTCCTCGAAAACATGGGGGTTGGCGGCGACTCGATCCTGCCACACATTCGTCCTCACTGTTCCTGGGGCGATGGCATTTGCCCTGACTCCGAACTTCGCGTACTCAACTGCAATTGAACGGGTGAAGTGAATAAGCCCTGCCTTGGCGGCGCTGTACGCTGGGTTCCCAAAGACAGCGAGGCCGTTGACGGAGGCGATGTTGACGATGCTGCCACTGGTGCGTTTCAGTGAGTCTGCGAAAGCGGGGAAAATGAGGAATGGGGCGTCGACGTTTAGGGCAGTTTCTCGCTTCCATATCTCCGGGGTTGTTCGTTGTAATGAAGGGGAATAGGTTGCACCGGCGTTGTTGACGAGGGTGAGCACATCGCCATCCAGGATGAAGACTTTGCGGGCTAAATCGGCCACCTGGGTAGGGTCCGTGATATCACACACTACATACGTGAACCGCTCATTCTCCTGGTTTTGCTCTCTTGTTTCCATGCTCTTATTCAGTGTGGCAGTGACTTCGTTGGCCTTCGGTTCGTCAATGTCTACCAGAACCACATGATCGTGAGATTCCGCAAGTCTCATGGCAATGGCCCGGCCAATGTCACCAGCTCCGCCCGTTATGACTGCGATTGAAAAAGTCAAAGGATCCAACTGCTCTTCTAAAACTTGGCTGGATGAGACCAGGATTGGGGATATTTCAATAAACGTTTAGTCTAGAAAGAGACTTATCTTGTCTCCTCAGCTAAGGCTAGATGCTCTTTACGCTTTATCAAGTAAATACCTGAATGGGCCGATACCGTAGGCGCAATCCTTAATTGAATTCTAACACGAGAGGGGAACTCCGCTTGCTTACTAAGGAAACAAGTGGGGGAAAATGTGCATGAATTCGGGTGATAACGATCATGACCTCAAAAAACATGTTGGGCTCCAGTCAAGCATATATTTGGATTCTGGGAAGGATTGATTTTAAGTTACAGGAAGTAAAGGATCTGGGGTATCTTATGCATAATAAAAGGATAGAAATACAAAAGAAAATCAAAGGTCCAACAACTCATGAATATTGAGCTGCTGGAAGAGAAGAGAAACATTCGGCTTTTAATTTTCATTTAGCATGAAATTGATGTGCCTCGCTCTAATTCTGCTTCTAAAGCTCGAGCCAATTCATCAATATTATCATTAGAGTCGTGTGGCCGTCCCTCCATCATAGCTTCTGAGCTTGTAGCGGAGGCTGATGTGGCAGAATCGCCTTGTGTAGTGACGGATGGAGCTGCGCTGGTGGAGTATGTCGATTTTTGTGGTAATTCTCCCCGTAGAGACGGAATTGCTGGCAGCAAACGTCTTGGTGGCCGGTTATTTTTACCGAGCCATTGATATTCTTTGCGACACATGGCGGTTCGAAGCTCTTCTGCGGCATGTTTGCCAGAATATTCCTCCGCAAGGAAAGAGACGGAGGATAAGTCCTTGGTATTGTGGTTCGTGGGTTCGTCATCAGTCAAATCGATAGTAATGGGATGCGGGTGAGGTGTATTCCGGGCTGCTCTCGGCGGATCGGGTGGTAAGTTAATGGATGAGTCTACTGTGACAAGTTCGGGCTGTGGTGATGGTACTGGTGTTGGATGTCCAGGAGGAAGATGTGCTGGGTGACGAAGGATCTGGGCGGATTGGAGCATGTGCAAATGCTGGACAAGTCCATTGTATGCGATGGCAAGGTTGTTGTATTGGCCACGCCAATCCTCAGCTTGCTTCCTAAACTCTTCGGTTTTCCTTTCTTGGGCCAACAGGGCACGCTTTAGGCGGAATGGCTCTTCTTTCAACATCTGCTCCTTACTCTTCCCAGTTGTAGGGTCGACGGTTTTCCATTCAGCCCACACAGTTCTGTATTTGCTTCGTTCGGATCTAACCTTTTGGAGATTTCGACGGTATTCCTCCAATCGTACTGCCACATCATCGGGCGCAACCTCAATACACCTGGCATGTGTTGCCGGTGCAGAAGGAAAATATCCTAATGGCCCACGGTACTTGGGGTAGGGAGATATATACACCTCAGGCTTTGGGACGTGACGAAAAATTTCGCGATGTTGGGTGGCAAGTATATCCTCCTTCCTGAGACGGAAATTTTTGGTGATATAGTTTTCAACAAATTGGATAGACTCTGATACATCCTGAGCTTTGCATGATTCCTCTGGGCGTTGAGGAGTAGTGGTTTCAGGGATATGCTCAATTGCAGCAGCAGCGATAGGAGAAGTGCCATTAATCAGAGAATTAGCAGACAACTCTTTTTCAGAACAGGGATTGTCCAAACTATTTAAAGAAGGATGTCTTCTATCAGTATTGTGAGTATCATCCGAATCCCGGGAGAAAGACGTCAAAAGGGAGCAGATTGATGAGCGGGAAGCGTTAATCGTAGTTTCTAGAGGGTGCCCAACAAGCTGTGAATTTTCAGAATCACAACCTGACGAACATGCGTCGGGATCCTCCCCAGGCCCGGCTTCGGCTATTTGATTATTTGATGGTATGGAAGAATATGGCATACAAGAAAGTGAAAAGTCACCTGAATCATGAGTGGCTCCATGGTTGGCGGGTCTAATGGTCGTTAAGGAATCGAAGTTAAATTCATCGGGGAATTGCAAGGAAGACCAGAGATCGGGGATCTCAGGAAGGTCTGGTGGCTGGAAGCCGGGAGGCAAAACGGAATCGTTTGCGGGTTGGTTGTGATGATCAGTCGTACTTGATAGGCTAAGTTGCGGGGAGGTTTGCCCAACATGCTGTTTCTTCGAAGGATGTGTATAGTTTTCGAAGACAGAATGGACTGACCTTATGTTATCATTATAAAAAGGCCTTTTCCGACAATCCGACTCATGATGAAACCCTGCTGGACTATCAGGTACGGGATTTATATCTCCCACGGACCCTGAAGCAGTTTGAGCTTCATGTCTTTCGGCTCCTTGGTTCGATCCAGATTCCAGAGTGTTGATCACCGCGCCTGGTGTATTCTGCTCATTACTATAGGAGGCAAGAAGTTCTTCCGGTGGTAGGATATCCATAAGCTGGCTTTCCCATGACAACTCGAATGTTTCATCGTCATCAAACAAACTGTCGGGACTTTGTTGTCGACATTGGGTTCGTAGGGGGCTCGATGGTGCACTCGTAGGCGGGTGGACAGCCTGAGGTATTGATGTTTCCTCAAAGCAAATTTGGCGGTTCTGCTGTTGCTGCGATCCGGGGAGATGTGTAAGCCCCAGAGCTTGATTCATAACAGGCTGACAAGAACGAGGGTCTTGAATATTCTTTGGAGTAGAATGAGATGAGCTGTGTAAAGAAGCATAAATACCTTCTAGGGCCCAACTATTACTATCCATCGTCATGTTAAATGACGAGCAAGTCAACGTTTCATAAGCAGAAATAGCTTCAAAAGAATCAACCGCGATCAGAGCTCCCGATCTGAAATTCTTTACACTGCCCATGCAGATGGAGTCCAAGAGCCTGGGGCAGCCGAAGATATCTTTATTTCAGCAATGATTGCGGATTGTTACCCACCACTGCAGCAAAGATGTAAACTTGGAAGCACGTATCATAACATGCATGGATGCCCTTGATTGCGAAGTTGGTGTTGGTGATGGGGTTCATCTTGGATAGACGGAGACAATAAATTTTAGGATCTAACCGTATTAGGAAAGGTGTTCATCGCCTCAGCACCTCTCACGTGGCTTAAGTTGTCTGCGCGGCCGAAGCTACCTAGTTGAACCTCATCGGATGAGCCAAATGTGAATTCCCCCAAGAGCGGTTGCACTTCGATTTGGTTAATTAGGCATTATTTCCAATATTGGAAATATTCTCTGCAATCTCAATATGAGCGTTATTCTCTGTACTGGTAAGTCACCGCTTCTCAGTTTTCCAGAGATACGACTAACCCCCTTTTCTCAGCTGGTTATGACCATACAATTAGGTAAGTTTCAATCTTCCCCCCTTCACCCCCCGCAACAGATTAGACTCACAGAGATTAATTTATGTTTGTCACAGGTTCTGGGAAGCCCTTTCTGGCATTTGCTCGCGAACAATCCAGCACTCAGATTCCCAGGTAAACCGCTTATGTATCACTCCAGACAAGCGATATGTCGCGGCAGCAGGGCGCGACAACGTGAAGCTATACGATATCAAATCCACAAATCCAAACCCAGTAATGACATTCGATGGACACACCAACAATGTCACCGGTGTTGCCTTTCATTGTGAGGGCAAGTGGATGGTCACAAGCTCGGAAGATGGCACGGTTAAAGTATGGGACACGCGAATTGGGACTCTGCAGCGGAATTATGTACATCAGGCACCTGTTAACGATGTTGTGATTCATCCGAACCAAGGAGAGCTGATAACATGCGATCGCGCTGGATTCGTGAGAGTCTGGGACTTGGGAGAAAGTAAATGTACGCACCAACTTCAGCCTGAAGAGGATATCGCTATGGCCAGCGTGAGCGTCGCGAGTGATGGGTCTCTGCTATGTGCAGGTAATAATAAAGTATGGTCTTTGCCAAAATACCTTACGTTTGGAAATCCTTTTTTAAATCTATTCTGCTAATCACGAATTGAACATTAGGGAAATGTTTATCTCTGGCGTATGATTCAGGATCGTGATCTAACCAAAATCGTGCCATTTATCACTTTCCAGGCGCATAAGGACTACCTAACTCGAGTGCTACTTTCTCCTGATGTCAAGCATCTCGCCACGTGCTCAGCAGATCATACTGCTAAAGTGTGGTCGCTGTATCCAACGCATGGTCCGTCCAGGGATGCGGAGGAAACAAAACAGGGAGCCGACGACGAAACGGCCAACGAGAAAACGCAACCTAAGAGCGCCTCAGCGATAGCAACAGATCCGACACCCACCACAAACGGGCACGATGGCGTATTGAACAGTGATGGTACGCTCCGCTCACACATACACTTGATTCCCGTTGATAGTTATATACATACTTATACTGAAATAAGCCACCTGCTAATTTACTTTATAGATATATTTCTAGATCCCTCAAAGGCTAGCAAGCCCCTTACAGACACCAATGGGTCCACAAATATATTCCCAACTCCGTCCGATGCGCCCATAGACCCCAAAACCAACGCTCCGTACCTCGAGGCTACGTTAGCTAGTCACCAACGTTGGGTGTGGGATTGCGCTTTCTCGGCAGATTCGGCGTATCTTGTCACAGTTTCCAGCGATCACTATGCGCGCCTTTGGGAGCTGTCGTCGGGCCAGATCATTCGTCAGTATAGTGGACACCACCGCGGTGCGGTCTGTGTTGCGTTGAACGATTATTCGGAGCCTCGATAGTAATACATATGGGAACTTCGGTTGGTCATGCCATGTTCAACGAATAGGCCTCTTTGAGAGAAGCAGGGGATTTATATTCGATTTCGGAGCGGTTACGCAAGCTAACACCCTGTTTCGTTTCTTTGTTTTTCTTTTCTTTTTGTTTGATTGTATTGATGTTGTACCCATTTGTTATCTTCTCAGCTATGAAAATTATGTATAGGTATTTCATATGTCAGCGAGGAGTTTGGGTGATTGTTTAACTGCAGTTTGCATTTGCATTCAATTGTCTTTTCTATTTCATTTGCATTCTGGCGGCGAAGTACGGAAGCAAGTCCAAGAGCTAGGAGGATGGCCTTACACAACGCTATTTCTCTCTAGTTCAGATATATGTATATATCTCACGTTTAGGTGGCCAATTGACGATATGCGTTCCGCAGTATGGATCTTTAACCGTTTCCCGTCCGTATTTATATCCATTCAGTGCCAATATAGGGGAGCTCAGCACATATGAAATCTGAAGATTTGAGCACGTAACCCCTCCTTCAAAATATATGTTTACTGGAATTGTGTCCTTGTCATCATCCATCCGGCTGACATCTAGCAAAAATCAGCATTCCATCAGTAACACTACTAGCAGCATCAATAGAAAGGATGAATCTAACAATAATAGTAAGATACTTGGGTAAGAAAACCCCGCAAAAGATACGTAGAATATAAATAGCAGGGAAGAATGACGGCATAACAATACTATATCTTTCAGGGCCGATGGCCTGTAGGTTACAGAAGGTAAAAAAAATATGGTAGAAGGGAAGGGAGAAAGAGGAGGGCTGATACAGGCCAAAGACACATCATACAATCCAGTCAGTTCGCGCCAAACCACACGATATTCAAGACCAAATCTAGTCCCTTATCCTCCGCGTTTGGGTATTTGAACGTCCACATTCCATCACGGCTAACGTCCCAGTATGCCCCGGAGGCGGAATGCATTCCTCGTTTACCAACTTTCTCGCGCGACTCTGGGGTATCTGGCGCTGTTACTCCTTGTTGTATGATTGTGCAGTTTACGTTGAAGCGGTAGGGCGGGGGTTGGGGGTTGTCGGTTTCAGCGTCATCGTCTGGCTGATCGGGTGTTGTGGCTTCAATGAGTGATTGGAGGACTGTGTTCTGTAGCGATTTGTGGACTTAAGTTAACGATTGAGACGTTGTGGGTTACGGTATCATTGAGTGTTTTGAGGCAGCGGGAGGTTGGGTTTGAAAAGGCGGTCCCCGCGATTTGCTCACGGTTGCCATTGATGGTTTTTGAGGTGTGAGAGGGCATTTGGGGTTGTTAATATATTCAGCCCTGTTATCAATGGAGAGATGAACGCACAATTATATGAGAGCTCCATTGGCCGACTTGTTCATGGTCGTAGCTCTGAACATCCTCCAACGCCGCGTCACATGCCTAAACGAACGTGAATGGATTGTTAGCGAGAGATACTTATAAAGCCAGTCATTCGAATGGGCACATACATCAGTCGCAATTTCCGTTAGGTCCGCAATTGGGATAGGCTATGTGTGTTAAGAAAGGACGTCAGTCAGTAACCACGGCGAATTGGTGTGGTTATTGAAGTGGAGTGTGCAGCGTCTAGGAACGTACAAGGTTGGCCCCATCTGCTTCACCACCCATGATCAGTGGACAATATGAGTATGATTGTTAAAAAGGGCAGTTGAATATATATGAGGGATACGGTGCAGGTTACAGAATATAAGCCGGGAGGAGGTTTTTTATAATGTGGTGAGAGGTGCTGATTCTACATGGATGCTGACCAATCTCAGGGCGCATAAGCCCAGTAACGCTGTGGAGTCAAAAAAGTTTCCTAGTAAGAAGCGCGTATGAGATATAGGAACGCGATTGGCTGGAATTAGCGCGGAGGGAAAACCACTATCAGCCTTGGGCACCTGAAGCTGCAATGTCCTCACAGCAACGATAGCCAGAGAGTTCAAGTGAGCTAAATGCGTCGGGACATAGTTGACATAGTTCACACCATATAAAGTAGCTGCGCAAGAATACCTAGTGCACTAGTTTACAATACAAAAGCAATGGCGGAGTGCTTCGGTCCCCTAGCTATGATGCAATGTGTCAAGCCAAGCAGCGATCCACCAACCACACCAAACTTCGCCGCCACGTGATGATCACTTCGGCTTCCAAGGTTGTAGCAATTGCGATAGTTATCTCACAAGACGGCGCGGGAGTCATTTGGCGTCCGCGGTTTGAAAAGCATTCTTCGGAGCATATTATCCTTTCCATTTTCCTTTTTGGTGAACCTTCCTATCTCCTTTGATTGCTATACACTATCCAATTTATCCCACGGTTCGCCTCTCAGTTCCGCTGCTGGCAGAGAACTTGAGAACAAAACTCTGGACCTCCTTTCGCCGTAGCAACAGTTCTCAGATACCCATTTATTTACCTTATATACTTTCACTTGGAAAATGTCAAGTCAGCCCCTTCTCCAATCTGGCCCAGGTACGTTCCGCTCAGACTATCCTCAAGTCATCCCTTTCCAATCACGTTTGCAGGGTATTGTTTTTCCTTTATGTGGGCGGAGACTTGCACAGCCATACATAATACATATATATAACGCACAGCATGTGCCGTTATTATCATTCTCAAGTCTCGATTTTCTAACTCGACTC